CCCCCCCCCCTTCGTGCTCCCTCAGCCGAGACTTCGCCTGTCCCGCCCCGTTGCTCCTTCCGCCTTGTCTGGCTCCCGGGAACTCCGACGCACAGCGTCGTCGCCCCACGCGACAGGCAGGCATCCCCCCTCCAAGGATACCCCTCACTTGATTCTGCGCCCCCTATTACGCGAATGATCGAGGATCTCGCCGCAAGGCCATTTGTCGGCCGCCCAGCTAAAAGGAGAATCAAAACCATGGAGGCGGAGGGTATCGATCCCCCTGCCTGCCGCATGCTAAGCGGCCGCTCTACCATTTGAGCTACGCCCCCGGTGGAGACAGATGCTGGCGGGGCCTATTTTTTCGGGACAGAAATGCCCCCCCACCAACGCATGTGGCCCCACCTCGCTCGAGGCCAACAACGCCCTCGTACAACGAGCTCCGGCCCGGGCTGCTGCCGTGTGCACACCGGTCAAGCCTAGGTCCCGGGAGTGAGGCTTGGCGCAAGGCACCAGCTTGGTCAGCTACCCGGTTAGCGGCCTCTTGGGGCAGCAAGAGAGGGAACATGCCAACCGGGGGGTCCCGCGGTCGTCTGCTTCCAGACGTGTCAGTTACTCGTCTTAAAGGCAACTTAACGGCAAGCTAAAATGAAAGAAACTCGGCAGGAGTTCCAGAGGGGAAGCCTTGGAACGGATGTTCTTCGGCCTATCTGCTGCCCCCCGGCTGCACTTTCGAATACTCTTCGCGACCCACAGCAGGCAAAGGCCTTCGGTCTCGGGAGGTCCCCAACGGGAGCCCCGCATTTCCAGCTTCGGGCACGGTCGAGGGGGGGGACTCCGAGAACCCGCGATTGGGCCCGCCGACCCGTCTCGCTCCATCCTCGGTTAAGCGCCGATGTCGCTCAACTGAGGAGGGTGCCCGGCTGTTGTCCCCCGATATTCCTCTGTGAGGAATGCCGTTCAGGGATGATGGCCATTCTCGAGGTATAACAATGATGGTGGTGTTCTCACGTGTGGAATTGAACTGTTATCACATGAAATCCCTGTGCAGTGTGTTGATGGCGTGTGCCTTCATGTGATGCCTATTGGGGGCGCACTCGTGGCGCTTCGGGTTAACCCTGCGGGTCTCGCATTCCCTCGCGTGCGGACAACACCGCCCCCACACGTCGGGGGGGGGCGAGGCGGGCCGGGGCGCCGACTAGACGCGGGCACAGACACGAACCCGGCCGGGCTGGCTCGCCGCCCTCTTGGCGCGGATCACTGCAGGAGCCTGGGGCCGAGGGGCAGTGGTTGGCCACAGGTCGCGCCCGTTTCGAGCACCGGCGTGCCAGGGGAAGCATTGACACGCCGTGGGGGGCCTTTCTCAGAGGGTGTTTTCGGAGGATCTCTCTCCAAGGAAGTCCCCACCCGGGGGGCCGGTGCTCGGCGGCGAAAGGGGCCTGTATATTTCTCCCAACAAAAAAAGGACAATAAACCTCGGTCAGCCGGACTGTCGGCATACACACCGGGTCCCGGTGGCCAGACCGCGCTGTGATGGAGGAGCGCCGGGCGCACCCCGGGCCAGAATATATGCCCGCTCTCAAAAAGGGACAACCCTCACCAAAGAAAGCCTGCCTGCCCGCCGGGGGCCGAGAGGATGATGTGTGCGCTCTAGGGGGGTGTATTTTTATTTCCTACTGCTACTATTCTTTCGGATGCGAAGCGCGCCGGGTGCGTGTGCGCGCGCTGGTGCAAAGCGCTGACACAGACATACACATTGTGCACGTTGCTCCCTGCCTCCCCCCCCCCACGCCTTACCCCCGACCGGCGGGGGGCGCGGGGCGGGGGTGGTGACGCGGGCACAAACTGGGCGTGGCCGGCGCCGCACGAACCGGCCTACGCTCTCGGACGGTCCCGGAAGCGCGAGGGCGGGTGGACGCGTGCGTATGTGTGTGTGTGTGTGTGGGGGGGGGGGGGGGAGGGGCGCAATTATCCCTCTGTCTCTCTGTGTTGCCTAGAGCGCGTTATAACGGAGGCTGGGAGAAACTCCCAGGCATCAGTGGGCCAAAACTGTGACAGATGCCTGGGTGCGCTATCCGTTCTCCCGCCGCCCGGCCTGGGGGGCTCTCTGGTATGTCGACCACTTGACGGTGTGTCGAAAGGCGGGCCGGCTGGCCGGCGGGCGGGCGCGCCATGACTGGGCGGCCGGTGGGCATTTGGGGGCTTTTCGTCCCGAGTGCGGCCCGCGGAAGAGAGCCCCAGCCCATGAGCTGGAGTTTCTCCTTGGAGAGAGGGCGGTGCCGCCTGCGTCGCAGCATGTGCTTCTGCCCTTCGGTCCCCCGTCGCGTCGCCGACGCCGGCGCCAGGGGCGGGGCCAGGGTGCTCCCAGATGAGTCGCATGCGTGTGCGGGACAAGTGTGTACTCACACATGCACTGTGACATGCGCATGCCCCGCCCGGGGCCAGCCCCTAGAGCTGCCCGCTCTCGGGCGCGATGTGTTTGGAGGGAACGGTCCTCGCTCTTTCTCCGTCCTTCTCTTCCTCTCTGCGTGTCTCGTGTGGTTGGGGGAAAATGGGGAGCCGGGCAGGGGCGAACTGTGGCTGACGGCTTTTTTTTTGGTTTTTCTTACGTTCTCTCGCTGGCGCTCTGGGTCCCCCTCTGTGGGGCGCGCGCGGCCGTGGAAAAAAAGGGACGAAGAATGGTCGCCGGGTGCCGCCAGAGAAATGGCTCACAGGGGCTCTGCTGGCCCTCTCGGCGATGTTAGATCGGAAGAGCACACGAAATGGGGAGCCGGGCAGGGGCGAACTGTGGCTGACGGCTTTTTTTTTGGTTTTTCTTACGTTCTCTCGCTGGCGCTCTGGGTCCCCCTCTGTGGGGCGCGCGCGGCCGTGGAAAAAAAGGGACGAAGAATGGTCGCCGGGTGCCGCCAGAGAAATGGCTCACAGGGGCTCTGCTGGCCCTCTCGGCGATGTTCGACAGCGCGACCGCGTCTCGCCCCTCCGCGCGCCCGGGGGGGGGGGGGGGGGGGGGGCGGGGGGGGGGGGGGGGGGGGGGGGGGGGGGGGGGGGGGGGGGGGGGGGGGGGCGGGGGGGATGGGCGACTGGGCCTCCCGCGCGCGCGCGCGCGCTGTCTGTCCGCAGGTGCAGCGCATGCACCCGTGGCGTCGGCCTCGAGACAGGGGCCGGGCCGGCTAGGTCAGGCGTCATGGTGTGAAGGATGGCCTCGGTGCGTGCACGCCGGCGCGCCTCCAGCCGCGGTTCCGGACTGCGTGCGGCTGCGATTGGGCGGCGCGGGTGCGCTCTCCGAGGCGAAAGGGGGCGGCGCGCATGGCGGGCCAGCGCGCCGGCCCGCGCGGGGGAGGGCTGGGCCTCGGGCGGCGACGCACATCCCCCGTGGGCAGAGTGCAAAGTGCGCCGGGCCGGGGGCCAAAAGTCGGCCGAGCCGAGGCAGGACCCGGGGGACGCCGGTCGTCGGAGCATGCACTGTGCAGCTTTCGACATACGCCGCCGCCCCGGTGCCGGAGGGGGTGTTCGCCTTCGCAGGCCGCCGGAGGGTGGACCGTGGGCGGGGCGTGAGCCCCTGGTATCGGCTCTCGAAGTGGACCCCTCTCTCCCTGCCTCGGTGCGCCTGCCGGCCCGATGCCGCGTGCGTGCGTACGTGCACGCCGGCGGGCGGGCGGGCCGTGCGCGGTACTAATTGTCGCGTGCCGGGCGGATCACTTTTTGCGGGCGTCGCTTCGAATGGTGCTCATGACCACGTCCATCATCAGCCCGCCGACGGCCTGGGCCACTTGGCTCGGCAGGTCAAGCTGCCCCTCCTGAACGGAGATAGTGCCGCGCCTGCGGGCATGATAAGCTCCCCCCGCCGCGCTCCAGTGGGCATTGGCATAGGGGGCGCCGGTGCCGGTGGCAGCCCCGCCGCCGAAGCCCCCGGCCGCGGCCGGCGGCTTCTGGTGGATGGTGGCCTCCAGGTGCGGCTTCAGAGCCTGGTACCGGCCGGCAGGCGAGTAGTCGCCGTTGAAGTTCGGGATCTGCGGCAGGCCCTTGTGAGCCATGCGCGCGGTGTACTGCCGGTAGTGGGTGAACTGGCGCAGGGGAGCCGGCGCAATCCGGAAGAGGGAACGGAACAGGCCCAGGATGGCTGTGCCGCCGGGGTGCCATCACCCGGAAGAAGTGTCCAAGGGAGGGGGGGGGGGGAGCCGGGGTAACAAGCCGGGTGTCAGTCCGGGGCACATGGGGCCGGTGTGTGTGTGTGTCTGTGTGCAATGCTTGTCCAATGCCCTTTCCAGGGGGCAATCGCGTGCCGCGTAGCGGGACGCGGCGCGCGAAAAGTGCCTGACAGGCTGGAGTTCGCCCAGGGCGCGCGCACTCCGCCCCACGGTCATCCTCGGGGTGTCTGCCCCGAGGGCGCGCGCGCGCGCGCCAGGCAACAGGGCCGCGCCTGCCACATGCAGAGGAAACACACGACACACTGGGACCAACGGAAAAGCCCGGCTGCACCACGCACCAATTCCATAGACCGCGTGAATCGACGAGCGGAAGCGCCCGAGGCCGAACTTCTCAGCCACCCGACTGGGCAGAGTCAGGGCTTTTTTTTTTCGCACACCCGCATGCCAAAGCAGAACCCACCCGAGGGACGGGGTCGAGGGAAGCACCGATGGGATGAGACGGTGTGTTAGTCTCGTTGACCTGCCGGGGGACCCTTGTCGCGTGTGCTTCCAAATACGCCGAATACTCCCCCTCCCGCTCGGCTCCCGCTCGCCCTGGGGGCGAAGGGCAGGGGCCGTGTATTGCGCGCCTTCGGTCGTGAACCTACCCCCCTCAGGATGGAACTGTTTCACGTCGGTGGGCGGCTATTCGCCGGTCTCAGTATGCCTGGCAGGACGCGGGCACGCGACGTTTCCGAGCTGCCCCCGCCCCGCCCTCCGTGCCCCCGAGGCAACCTCCCGGCGGCCCCCGGCGGCCGGGCCCGCCCCCCCCCCCCCCCCCCCGTCT